ACGAGTTGTCCAGGGGGCAGAGTGGGGATGTTAAGATGGTGTTGGCCACACAGAGGTCGGGGACCGTGACTGATAAGGTGTCCGCGTTCTCGGTTTTGGTTGGGGACAATCCAATTGCAAATATCAGGTCAATTGATGCACTTCTAGGTACATTTCTCCAATGAAATTATCTTCAATGCTCCGTTTATGCATTATTCAGTCATGCTTTTGCTAGTTCGAAAATGGAATACACTGTGTACACGCTTTAAAGACTTGAGCTCTTCAAACTTGAATTAGATGAAATTTGACTTCAAAATTTTACAGTCAGTTGTGGAAAACGAAATGAAAAACTATGCGTGAGAGATTGAGACATAACTATTTTTTGAATATTTGCATAGATAAAGTACTAATCTAACTGTTGCATATTGTCATGATGGAATTTTCCAATGATAGGACAAAGATGTATTCATGTTCGGTGGAGAATAGATGTTGTTATAATCAAAACCAATTTGTGTATTCATGTTGGAATCGATAGAATATGCTAACCTGATCCATTTGTGTCTTTGCTATTGGTGAATGTGGATTGCAGGTATGGTGACATCAAAAGTTGGCAAGCGCTATGCCTTTACCGGATTTGAAGCACTGAAAGAAATGTTTATATCAAGGTTTGGTTAATCAGTTAAATAAGTATTTGTAGGTCATAATTATATTACCTAGCTGTCACTGTGTGGTTGTATCTATTCTGTGATCTCCAATTACAGTCAGCTTCACATTTCTGTAAGGTGTTTTCTTATTAGATTTCCAGCATGTGCAGTTCTAGGACAGTGCTTGCAGATGTTGAGATTGTAATAGTACGAACTAAAGCAATTTGATAGTCTCATGTTAGAGATCAGAAAGATTCTTATTTTTTGCCTCTTATGTTATGATTAATTGTCATGTCTTCTCTTACCAGTCTATTGCCTGATCGTAAGCTGAGGACACTTTTTCAACAGCCTCTTAATTACCTTCCTGACTCAAAGGATGGGAATTCCCTTCTACTGTTCTGGCATTGGGAGGAATGCCTAAAACAGAGGTGCATGCCTGAACCTTGTATTCCTCTTTCTGGTTTGGAACCATTGTTAGGTAGTTGTTGCTTGCTATACCTTTTACAAAGAAATCAATAATCCATCCTATACAATTTAGATGCTCAGGCCCCACGAGTGGTTTTCTTCCTCGGGTTTTTAAAAAACTATAGCAGTTTTGGTCAGTTAAGCAAACTCTACCTATCTTAATCATAGATTTTTCATGTCAAAAGGAACATTTGAAGGAAGCAACTTTCTTGAGAAACTCTTAGGGGTAGCCTAGCCAGTAGCATGCATGATGCATCTCTACCTCTAGTTACAAATATCAGGGTTGGCATGTATGTTTCTGTAAGACCTCATTGAAACATATTTAGGGCTCAAGCCTCAAGTATATTCGCTGGGGATGCAATGAGTACATCATCATGTAAAAGTTGGTTGGTTCCTAGAAACTATGAACTGGTTGTTCATGCAACTTGATTACATGGATGGTGATAGGTTTACTTTTATAAGGGCAGAAGGAAAAAATGTGTGATAATTTTGCTGTTATGACTTATGAGGGTGAAGGAGAATGTAGAATAACTAGTGAAGGGTTTATAATCACTATATATTTGTTTGGAATGACACCATGCCATGGTGATTACCTTAGCACTTAAATTTCATTCTAAAATTTTCTAAAAGCAAATAAAATAGAAATGAGTTTCTGACTTCAACAATTGAAACCCACTAAATGCTTTTTGCGGTCGTCTTCTTCAAGTAACTTGTGGAAGGTGGAAATGTGAGAAGTTAAGCTGCAGTAACAGATGAATATGAAGATAGTACTCATCAGATTTCAAAAGCTTGTGGAAAGTGTACATGTGAGAAGTTAAGCTATATGGAGCAAGGAACAACTAGATAAAAGATATACACATATTTAACTGAGAACTAGGTTCCTCACTAAGATGTGTGTTATTACAACAACCTTGGTATACTTTGTGATTGTTGCATCAAGATGTTCATGTGACTGGTGCATTGAGGAAACTATTTTTCGAAATGGTTTCACTAAGTTACACTTCTATATGACCCCTACTGCATCTGAAAGTAAAAGCACATTAAAGAAAAGACAAGGACACTTGTACATTCACTTGACAAGTTTTTTCATGTTTTAATGCAGGTATGAGCGGTATATATTTGCGCTTGAAGAAGCATCTAGAGATGTACTAGCTACACTGAAGGATAAAGCATTGAAGGTTTGTTTACCTTCATGTTTGTGTGCTTTGCCAAAGTTCATTAGTAGTTTTAGCGTCTGTGTCCAGTGAATCATTGTTAATGGTGGCTGGTATTTTGTTGGTTTTCTTTATCCGGTGTATTTTGCAACTTATAGAATAGCTATTTTGTAACCATATAGTTCTTTCCCTTTCTTGTTTTTCACACAAAGTTGTTATTCCAAAGGACAAAAGTGGATGCATTATACTGTGGTTTAACATAGCCACACTGTTGGTTTACCAAGTGTAGGAGCAAGTCTCAAAAACCATACTAATTTGAACGTCCTTTTGCCATTCTAAGATGGGTTCTGTGAAATTGCGTAACCTTTTGTCATTCTCTTGTAGATGGCAAATGTTGCTTATCATGCTTCTAAAATTACCTTTATAGTTGGAGTACTGCAGCTTAACTTGTTGCAATCTCAAGAATTTTGCATTCCCTCCAGTACTTTGATGCAGTTAGTTTTGATACTTAAATTTACTACCATATAGTTAAGTTACTAGATAAGCTCATAAGCACTTGTTTATATTCACCATTTGAAGTACGCCATCTTTTTCATCTTTCGTTTCTAATGTTTAGTTGGCTTGTTCATTACATGTTTTTTCTTGTGAGTTGTGGCACTCGTCGACCAATTGGTTTCTTTCACATCTATTATTTCGCCATAAATTCTCCATGCACCCAGATGTTAGTAAAATTAAAAATTTGTTTTTCCATAACGCTTGCAGACCATTTATGCGTTGCTGAGGAGCAAGTCAGAACAAGAGCGCCGACTGCTCTCTGCTCTTGTAAATAAGGTTTATACCTTGCCATCTCATGTTTATTCTGAAATAACCATCAGCTAAGAATATATATTGGTTGTCATGTTGTAGTCATTGCAATTCTTAGTGGTTGTAGAATCGAATTTCATTAAGTTTGCTTCCTTCAGCTAGGGGATCCTGAAAATAAGGCCGCCTCTAATGCTGATTATCTCTTGTCAAAGCTTTTGTCAGACCATCCAAATATGAAGGTATACTATCTTTTAGTGCCTATAGTTTTTGTATGTTCCTATTTTTTTGTATGTAAGAAAGTGAACATTGCTGTAGGTGTTATTTATATATATGTTGTTATTTCTGGTTGTTGTCATAATGATGCCAGCCTGTAAGCTGTAGTATTTACCCTACTTTATCCTGGTATGCATGCCGACACTCATATGATACTGAAAGGCTGCATACACCCTAATCTGGCTTGGATTTATGTAACCCATGATACCTCCTCAGTTATTTGGTGTAAAGTTCTATCAAAATTCGATTTCGGTAATGAAAACACATTTTATGCATGAATATTGACGAAGATTTGTCATGCTAGGATGACTATTCACCCAATGTGACTCAGAAGATGCTACAATAGCTACAGCATGACTCTTTCAAGCTGGGTTTGATCTGTATGTTTGTAATTATTAGTTTTGAAGGTTCTCTGTGTAGCTTAATGCTCTTTTCTGCCATAATATCTAAATATTTATGCACTATATGGGATGTCAAAGATCTGGAGGGTGTGTAGGGAGTTCTTTATTAAATCAATTCAGACTCTAGCACAGTAATCTACTAGTTTTCTTATTATTTAAATGCACTTTTCTTGATCTTACCAACATCTTCTCACATGTGATTTTACAGGCAGTTGTGGTCGACGAAGTGGACAATTTTCTTTTCCGGCCTCATTTGGTGTTGCGTGCCAAATACCATGGTGTATGTTCCTAGCACATGGAAAATGTTTTTAATATTTGCTTGCTATTTCTACGAGTGCTTGGCCTGCAACATCCATTCTCAAATTTGAAAGCTTGTTAGTAGCTTACTTTTTTTTGTGAACTGTTCATAGATACGGTGATTTCCCCTGCTCTTTGTACTTAGTAAACTTGAATATATGCTACATCCTTCATGTGGTCTAGAAGACTTTGTTTTGGTTGTGTTATTTTTCATTTTAGTTGTAGGCATCATTTTCGAAGTTGTAATCTTCATGTTTATATTTATTTGGCCAAGATAAATAGGAATTTTAAGCTTGTGATCATTCAAGTTCAGGTATTGTTATAATGATTAAAATGGTGTGTTTTGGGGGAGTATCGAAACACCTTTCTTATTCTTACATATATCATATGGCTTGCAGTAGAGCGTGCATGTAATGGTGTAGCTTTTGTAGTTAGTTCTAGTGCTTGTCAAAGCTTGATATGCTATCTTATCATTTTAACTTGTTAAATGCTGGTCCGGTATGCAGTAATTCTCAGATATTGTTGCAGCTAGTTTCTGGTGAAGATTTTTGCATTCTTTTAATCATCAAATCAGCATCCGACTGAATCTGTTTATACACAGGTTAATTTTTTAAACCAGATACGTCTAAGTCACGTTGGAGATGGGCCAAAAGTGGCAAAACGATTGGTAGATGTATATTTTGCTCTCTTCAAGGTAATGTATGCAACATTCATCCTTAAAGCTTCACTAATAATTTTCTTAATCACTGGCCTTGCACTATCTACAATGCCACTCCCTCCCTAACTAGAGCTCATTGACAATAGGTTCTTTCTGTTCTAAATACCAAATGGAAAGTGAAAATTTTGTAAGGATGCTATTAGTAATGATAGAGGAACAATCATGACTTATTAGGTTATAAATATAAAAATCTTACATATTTTTGGCGAATTACTTGCAAGGGAAGTGGGAGTCGTTGTGGAGGGAGAAACTTATTTTTGATTCATTCACTCCCAAGTCTCCAATGTAACTTGGTTATGAAGAAAATATTGATTATGGCTTTTAACTATCTGTCATAATGCCACGTTCTCAAAGTATATTGTTTCAGGTACTTATTTCCGAGTCTGGTGGCCTTGATAAGGAGAAAAAGAGCAAAGAAGAATTGAAAAAAGCTTATAGTTCATCCAAAGACAAGGATGTTAAAAGTGCTGCAGATTCTCATGTTGAAATGGATTCACGATTGTTATCAGCTCTTTTAACAGTTAGTGTATCTGCTTGTGAAACTCCGGTATCTGTGTTTTTTAGTTTTTACTTATCTGCATCTAAATTTAGATGCAGATAAGTGAAACTAAAAAAAACACACAATTTGCAAATATCATATGTCGTGGTTTATATGCTCTCTTCCCACATGCTTTGATGGCTTCTTATCTTCTTAACCTAACAGGGAGTCAATAGGGCTTTTCCTTTTGTCGCAAGCAATGAAGCTGATGACATTGTTGTGGCTCAGACTCCAATGCTCTTTCAGTTGGTAAGCTTACGAATATAGAAGTCATCTTATCTGAGCGTGTGATATTTTTTAATATTTTTCCTTCCCTAGGTAGGGATGGCAAAAGCCTATACCCGACGGGGAACCGATATCCAAACCCAGTTTATCGGGAATCCCTGAATTTGTTAACCTGGGATGGGGTTACCCCTCAAACCCGACTTCAACCCCAACCCTGAGATACAATGCAGCGAGATACATCTCGATTTTCATGTTTCGTCTTATTTATTTTTGTCTTAGTCGATGTTATAATATGGTTGTACGTGGTTTTGAGAAAGCGATAACGTTTTTATATTTAAATAAAATATAAATATGAAGATATCATAAAAAATGAAAAAAATATTGATATTAATACAAACAAACTATTTAAAATTTCTCCTTTTTTTATATTTCTTTAATTCATTTTTTATTTTTAGTTTAATAATATAATTTTTTGCAAGATAATAATTAAGTATTTTGTTAGAACTCAATAATTATCCTAATTATATTTTAGATTTTTTATATTTAAAATGAGATGTTTATCCTCTATTTGATTATGTTTATATGCTGTTAGTTACACAAATTCAAACATGAAGCTTTAATAAGTTGTACTTATGCTCAATTTACTTGTAATCTTGAATTTTAAGTAATATGCATCAATAAACAGTACTTCATGCATAAAAAATGGGTTTTAAGAGTTTTTGTCAAATGCATTATAATATAGTATAGATATATGTATACGCATAGTATAATAAAAATGACAAGCCCTAGGAATATATATAACACATAAATATAAGAAATATAATCAATCTTCGATGACGAGGGAACTATCAAAAGATATTATAGTATTGGTTTGATAGTTCGGAGAAACTTTTGGTGATACAATAATGTGGATGCACACAATTTCAATTATTAAGTATTGCAATTGACATATTTATTTTTGAACTACTGTTATAGTCTTATACAAATGCAACAATTAAAATCCCTGGTGGGGATGGGGGGTGGGGATAGGGATGGTATCCTCGACTCTGTTGCCATCTCTATTCCTAGGTGGCTATTTTGTTCTTTTTTTTAGGCCCAGAATGAACTCAGTTGGAATATGCTCACGTATTTGATTATTTATTTGGCCTTATTCACACTTGCTGGTATGCAGGTTCACTCAAAGAACTTCAATGTTGGAGTTCAAGCATTGATGCTTCTCGATAAGATCTCATCAAAAAATCAGATTGTCAGTGACCGGTTTTATCGTGCTTTATACTCCAAGCTCTTACTTCCATCTGCAATGAACACTTCCAAGGCTAGTGAACTTGTCTGCTTGTTTTCAATCTTATGTTGGTATTTTACTATCTGGAATATCATGAATAGTTACTTCCAGTAAATGAAGTTTTAATAGAATTATGTCTCCATAGATAACCCTCATTGATAAGCTCATATAGAAGTTAACTTTTTCTAAGCTCAACTGACTTGGGTTGATCTTTAAATGATGTTAGCATTGCATTGTAAGAGAACTTACAGTCGGTGTTATCAAGATATGCTTGCCATCGTCCAGGTTTGGCATATAAGCTTCAGTGTCACCGCCTGATTTTCTATTCAGTGTCACCGCCTGTATTAGTTGTATTTTGGAAGCAAGTCTTATTTCAGGGGGTTTTGTAACATCACGTCTGAAATAGGTAGTGAATATGAGTTGCCAGACCTTATGTCTTCGGAGATTATTTTGTCTGGTTTGCTACTGTTACAAATGGTATCTGAAAGGTGGCCCATTGAGTTGTAGAGGTTTGGACCTAGGATTCAGGGTAGGTTTCTGTGTAGGTCTGATTTAGGGATTAGGAGTTCAAGTAGGAACATTTGTAGTATCCATGATTGTTGATTGTGAGCTCCTTGCAAGTCTTTGGTTCTTAATAATATCCCGTTTGAGTTGTTTGGATGTTAATTTTGGTGAGCCCATGGCTTGGTCTTGAGATGTTGATTCTTTTATCAAGACAAGGTGCCAGGATAATTCTTTCAACTTTTGGTATCATTTGGATATCCGCTCTTATTTATACCTTTATGCGCACAATCTCTTTCAGGAAGAAATGTTCATTGGCCTTCTTTTACGAGCTATGAAAAATGATCTTAATTTGAAGAGGGTGTCCGCATTTGCAAAACGTTTGTTGCAGGTAAGTGACTCAATTTAAATCTGATGCATCTAATTCCTTCAGTTCAGTTGACAGTTCACCTAAATGCTACCATCAATTTTATGATGACATGTTGCAAATCTCAACTTCACTTGCTATTTGGTGTATGTTTTCTACTTTCCAGATTGTGAATATACCGACTTATGCACATCGATGTTAATTTGTGGACCATTAAATCCCCATGTTCAATGATCCATTGTATTGTAGCACTTTAAGTTGCATATTAGTTCACATTCATAGTATATCCCCCTATGAACAACTTGTCCTTGAGCAGAACGCAACTTCCCAGTCCTCTTCTGTGCATAAAAGAGGGTTTCTATCAAGTAAACATTTATTACCTTGTGGGGATAAGTTCTCTTTCCAGAAAATTGCAGAAAGTCCAAAAGAACTCGTAGAAATAAAAGATGTCAGAGAGCCAACATACCTCTAGTATCCTGTTTCTGTAACATCTGTATGAGCCACCCGCAAAGGCTCCCTTTGTTGTTGGATCGTTGACCAATAGGGAAACAAAGGCACTATGCTCCTGACGTAGGGATAGGAATTGGTAGGGGATTATGGATTAGTTGCTGATAAGCTCATTCCTTGTCAGACTTAGTGAGCTAACAATAATGAGAACCTTGCAACTAAACTAAAGATTCAGAGACTCCCCTACATGCACGGCAGTTACCATAGATAAAAACATCGTGTCCAACATCAAATTGTGATAATGAACTATGCTGTTATATCGGTCAGAATACGAAATATTGGTCAGGACCGATATTCGATATATCGGTTATATCGGTGATATATCGG